AGTAGTAGTAGTAGTAGTAGTAGTCGCAGTAATCGTATTAGTCGTAGTAGTAGTAGTAGTAGTAGTAGTAGTAGTACGTAGTACGTAGTAGTAGTAGTAGTAGTAGTAGTAGTAGTAGTAGTAGTAGTAGTAGTAGTCGTAGTAGTAGTAGTAGTAGTAGTAGTAGTAGTAGTAGTAGTAGTAGTAGTAGTCGTAGTCCGTAGTCGTAGTCGTAGTCGTAGTCGTAGTCGTAGTCGTAGTCGTAGTCGTAGTCGTAGTCGTAGTCGTAGTCGTAGTCGTAGTCGTAGTCGTAGTCGTAGTCGTAGTCGTAGGTCGTAGTCGTAGTCGTAGTCGTAGTCGTAGTCGTAGTCGTAGTCGTAGTCGTAGTCGTAGTCGTAGTCGTAGTCGTAGTCGTAGTCTTAGTCGTAGTCGTAGTCGTAGTCGTAGTCGTAGTCGTAGTCGTAGTCGTAGTCGTAGTCGTAGTCGTAGTCGTAGTCGTAGTCGTAATCGTAATCGTAATCGTAGTAGTAGTAGTAGTAGTAGTAGTAGTAGTAGTAGTAGTAGTAGTAGTAGCACTAGTAGTGTCACGAGAAGTATTCTTATCCGCATTCGTAGTGCGTGATATTCCACAATCAGAGCTCTCCTCTGTAGGGGTTCTAGCGGATTTATTTGTTTTGTGAGGTATGGTTCCGATTTAGGCGGCATGCCCGGGTGCCTGGGTGCCCGGGTGCCCAGTTGCCCGTGTGCTCGGGTGGTGTGTAGCTCTATAGCCCCATAGTCCTATAGCCTTGTAACCCTATAGCCCCCTTATAGCCCCCTGTAGTTCCCTTATAGCCCAATAGCCCTATATCCCTATAGCCCGATAGCCCTACAGCCTTACAGCCTTGTAGTCCTATAGCCCTATTGCCCTGTCGCCCTGTAGCCCTATAGCCCTATAGCCCTATATGCCTATAGCCCTATATCCCTATAGCCCTATGGTCCCATAACCCTGTATCCCCATAGCCCTATAGACCTACAGCCCTATGGGGCTATAGCCCTATAGCCCAATAGCCCTACAGCCCTATAGCTCCACAGCCTTATAGCCCTACAGCCCTATAGCCCTAATTATGGTTCGACAGCCCTATAGCCCTATAGCCCTATAGACCTGTAGCCCTATGGCCCTATAGCCCTATAGCCCCATAGTCCTATAGCCCCAAAAAGATGATGATCGTTTTTTTTCCACCGGTATTATTAAATATTCGTATCCTTTGCAGTTAGCAGTAGTGGTGGTAGTAGAAGTCGTGCTAGTAGTAGAAGGTGCCAGGAGGTGGAGTTCTGAGCCCCTGGGGAAGCTGTTCGGGGCCGTCTGCCACACGGGTGTGTGGGCCTGGGCACGCTCGTGGTATATGTGTACAGAGCCGCTGTGTATACAGCGTGTTCGTTATATGTACACAACATGTAGCTCAATGATGTTGTGTGCATACATGTATACTCGTGCATGTACACATGCACATCTGCACATGTTGTATCAATACATCTTACATATGCATGCATGGGTTCATGTACTTACTCCAGATTTCGTAATAAAAGGGAGGGGGTCTGGACGCTCCAAGACAAGCCATTTCAGACCTCCCCCGTGGGAGAACCCTCCAAAACATCGTCCCCAGACCCCCCCAGGCCCTCCAAGATAGCCTGGAAGAGACCCCCCCCGAAATGAGACCCCCCTCCCTTTATTACGAAGTCTGGGGTACATATCAAAAAACGATAGGCGGATCGGGCGTGTTTTGGTGGTGACTTGATGCCACAGCAGGCGGCCATGCCTTCCCTCCCGCTCTCGCAGGACCTGTCCGCCCTGCACAGGGAGGCAATGCGGGTCCTGCGCCCGCCCTAGCCGATGGTGGGGGGAGTCGCGCGAGAGAACGTGGACAGGAGCGGGAGGAGGAACTAATTCGACTGTTTTCGACTAGCTCTGGGGTCTTCTGCGGCGCCCTCCGAGACACCGCTGGGTCCTCCCCGGAAGTGGGGCCATGATGCACCCCAGGAAGGGTCGGGCGAGTGGTTTTCAAAGAGCACGGGAGGAGCGATGGAGGGAGGGAGGGAGGGAGGTGGAGGGAGGAGTGGGCGCAGGGAGGGGTGGATAAAGTGTGGGTAGTTGCAGGTGGCAGGGCGGCCTAAACAAGGGTTCCGTTCGGGATGTCCTCAAACATAAAACAATCCTTAACACAAAACAAGCGTTTCTCTCAAGACATCCTCAACCAATTCTGAAAAACAAGCGTTTCGCTCGGGACATTCTCAAACACAATTCTGCCGGCCCTCTTCCCGCTTCGTGATTTACCGCGAATGATTCTGCCGGCCCTCTTCCCGTCGGGTCCGGGGGGGAACAGCTGAAAGAGAACCCTGGGCCCGCGCCCTTTCCGGGAAAAATAAGCAACACAATACAGCTCGTAGCGTTTTTATTTCGTTGTAAGAGCATTACGACTAATCGTAACAATACGTATAACAGTACGAAAAACAAGTGTAGGACCATATTACGAATAGGACAAGACAGCATATTCACAATGCGAAATGTTATAGTTCGGAAGAACAAATAGTCATTCAACACAGATTATTGAAAGTCATTGGAATCATGCCAGCAATAGTTTTCATAAGAAGACGAGCATGGATATTAATAAGTACCTGTTCCTATGAAAGAGTATTCTACGAACATCAGTAATAGTAATACTCGTACTATTTTGAATTGTATTCTTGCAGAATGAGATGAAGACGAAGCATACTTATATTACGAGTAATGTTAGTGTCACTTTTCATAATGTTAATCTTTGTATTGGCATCTTTAATAATCATATAACAGTATTTTTTCAATAAGTATTAGAAATGCCAGTAGTAGTCGTAGTAGTTGTAATAAATGATAGTCGTAGTAGTAGGAGTAGTAGCATTAGTTGTTTCAGTATAGTATTAGTAGTAGTGATCATACTCATGATGCTAATACCTCAGCTAATCTTAACAACCATGATAACAGTACTAAGGGGTCTCACCGTTGGAATACCAATGATACTGCTAAATCTATCACGACTATCAATACTACCAGGCAATGCTGATGAGGATGCTGATCATGATGCTTATGCTGCTGCTGCTGATGATGATGATGCTGCGGCTGTGGATAATGATGATGATGATGATGATGATGATGATGATGATGATGATGATGGTGGTGGTGGTGGTGATGATGATGATGATGATGATGATGATGATGGTGATGGTGATGGTGATGCTGATGAATATGGTGATGCTGATGCTGATGATGAGGAGGAGGACGATGATGATGCTGATGATGAGGAGGAGAACGAGGAGGAAGATGAGGAGGAATCCTCTGCTGCCGTCGGCTTGCACCTCCACTTACCTCGCGGCCGTGTCGCCAGCCGAGGCGCCTGGAGCATCCTGCGGGCTGCGGGGACGCCTCTCCGCTGTCGCCGTCGTCGCGGCTGGCGCGGGCTGCGGAGATCCTGCCAGACTTGGTCCAGGCGCTTGGTGGGGGGCCGGGGCTGATGATGCTGCTGATGATGATGCTGATGATGATGCTGATGATGATTATGCTGATAATGACGATACGGGTGATGATGCTGCTGATGATGATGACGATGACGATGCTGATGATGGGGATGATGATGCTGATGATGATGATGATGATGACGATGATCATGGTGATGCTCGTGTTGATGATGCTGATGATGATGCCGACGATGATGCTGATGCTGATGATGATACTGATGATGCAGATGCCGACGATGATGACGACGACGATGATGATGCTGATGATGATGGTAATGATCAGGATAATGATGATTATGAGGATTATGATGAGGTTGATAATGATGATGAGGTTGATGATGATGATGATGATGATGATGATGATACTCATGATGCTGCTGCTGCTGCTGATAATGTTGTTTATGCTTATGTTTATGGTGATGCTGATGATGATGCTGATGATAGAGATGATGATGATGGTGATGATGATGGTGATGATGATGATACTGACGATGATGACACGATGATGGTGGTGCTGATAATGATGGTAATGATCAGGGTTATGCTGATGAGGATTACGATGAGGTTGATAATAATGATGATGATGATGATGATGATGATGATGATGATGATGATGAGGTT